CCAATCTGAAGAAAAAAAAAACACTATAGGAAAAATATAAACATTAACCTTGTATGTATTGCAGGAAAGAGCAAGCTATATGTATAATATTGAAACAAAAATATTATCATCCATATCAAGATATAAATTGCATATAATTTATATATACATATTATATACATATATTATATATATATATATATACATATATATATATATATATATATATATTATATATATATACTATAATATATATATAATATAAAAGATATATATATATATATATATATATATATATATATACTATATATATATTATATATATATATATATATATATATATATATATATATATATATATATATATATATATATATATATATATATATATGCTGATAGAAAAGTATCCTTCTCATATAATATATAGGCGGAAAATGGTGTATAGAGAAGAAGAAAAAAATAAAATAAAAATACAGAGATAGGAGGGAAAAGTTAGATAATTCATGAGAATAACTGATGGGGATGAAAAAGGATAAATTAAAAGCAAAGTAGAAAAACACTGGAAAATAATGAAAGATAATAAAGTATGCACATTCCAAATACCTGTGGAACTCCTCTCTGTGCCCAAAGATTTAGGTGACTCTGATCCCCAACAACAATCTCTGAACCCCGGCTCCAACAGTGTGTTAAGACTGGAAAGTAAACATTCAAATGAATAATCAACATATCAATTTAAGGGTAAACACAGTTTACGGGTTGTTAATATATTGTCATTTTATCAGTATTTTCTCACTACTCTCTAAGGACAGCAAAACTCTACCTGCTTAAGCCTTGGATAAAGTATTAAACCACTCACCCTTTCCTATGAGGGCATAATGCAACATCATTAACCATATATGGATTAACACAGGACAAGAAACTTTAATATATACAAGTATTAGACCTGAATTTTCCTCTCACTTAAATAAATGTAAACTTACCACACACAAGATTTGCCATAGTGCCTGATGGAACATACAAAGCTGCTTCCTTTTCTAATAATTTAGCAACTTTATCTTCTAAAGCTGAAATTACAAAATATCAAAATTATTTTTAGACATAGTATAGGGATAGATAAGCATCTTTCAACATAAAAAAATCTACCTTTGCAAGTAATTACATATTCCTAATAGCATTTCATATTCATCATGTTCATTGGTGTTCAGGAAAATGCAATAATAAAAATGTTAATGAAAATGCAGTAATAAAAATGCTAATGAATGTGTAGTAATACAAATGTTAATGAAAAAGCTTTGCCTAGATATTGTAAAGGAATTTCATGTTAGAATATATAAAAAAAATGTTTCATACTATTACTTTGTCCATATATATGGATTGATACTAATCACCTTTGTACTAAAACTACTGGATTTAACCTTTCTTTCAAGCTCTTCCATAATTTCAAGTGAGATAATGACCAAAACAGCTTTAGAGATAAATAAAGAAAACTGCAACTGTTTGACTATGAAAAATCCATAAACCTTTTGAAGTTAAATGTAATTTTTAGATGGTTTAAAAATATACCTTTAACAGTAGAATCTTCAGAAAAAACGTCATCACCAACTGGTGCATCAAACATGGCTTCCTTCATTTCTCTGCTAGGTTGGGTGACTGTGTCACTTCGCATATCAACAATACGCTGTATTTGAAAAAAAAAAAAACTCTTATAACCATACTATCAATAACAATAAAGATTAACAAACAAAAACTTTATTGTAAATTGCAAGAGTATATTAACCCCTTGGATCCAAGTGATGTGACCAACATGTCAAGAAAAATTTAGCTGCGGGCCAGGGTGACAGGAATATACCATCATGAAATTTTTATCTGAAGGCCAGATGGATAGGAAAGACCTGTCACTTGTGCACAAAGCTCTTAGGTGATTAGAGTTAGGTGGGTATTTAGGAAGGTGCTCTATCATTATTTTCAACAGTATACAAGTGTGGAATGTCTCATTCATCAGCTATGATTGGATGGGCACTAACTCCAGGGCAGACATTATTTCCAAACTCAGAATCCTATTTCTCCCTGCCTTGAATGGTAATGCAGTGTGTATTATAACAACAACCCACACACTCAGTAGACAGGTAACTCAAGTAAGCCTAATACCTAGATTTTGGGCCATGAACAGGCAATGAGGCACCTGGATCCAACGAGTTAATTATATACCAAGTTCAAATACATCAACTAATTATACCAAAACATGTGGAATTCCAGTTTCATCAAGAACGCTTGATAAGTCTGAAGAAACAGTGACGTGTGAGCCTGCTTCAGCCATTCTCTTTTTATGTTTCTTTCCCATTGCATGCTTCAGCAATTCTGACTTTCCTGCTGTTAATTCCTTGTTGCATACTGTGCAGTATGCTCTCTCTACTGCACTTCCCTCTGCTAACCATCCTTGGAATTCTCTCAAGTGTAACCAATCCTTGCGAAACCTATTAAAGCAGGATGGGATTTTTACATATCTATGGACATACCATGAGGTATGTAAGTGTTTAATTTAAAAATAACAATATAATCTAAAACTCATCTTTCTTCAATGTTTAAAAGCAATTTTCTGGTACATATCTATTAAAAAAGAGAAAAATTACGTCTTTTTCTTACTTCTGGCTATAAACTCGTATTTTTCTTTTCTTGTCTGGGCGATGTTTTAGCTCTGTATCTTCTGTTTCACTTGAGTTATGAACTTGCTCTTCCACAGACACAACCATCTCTGCTGGTACATTTTCAGAATCATCAAGACTTGGGATGCTCAAGCCCTGGCCCTCCATACTTGCTCTGATTTAATGGAAAAAAAAAAAAAAAAAGGGAATCATATTTTAGTTATGAATTGCTCACAACATGGTTACTATCTAATCATAACCCATAATGAATCAATTAAACTTTGTAAATTGTGACTTATCTGTTTTGAAAACTGACTGAAAATGTACGGCATTGTCTTAAATGGGATAATACAATAATCAGAAAAATATACAATATATAGAGCTCTATAAAATGACAATGCTATATCAACACAGCATCAGTACAAGCTAATAGTGCAGTCAGATATTTTGAGGTACTTGCAGTGACACACAATCACCAATCAATTGTCCAAGACTACATTTTGGTAAAATATACATCGTAGAACCTAATGGAATTTTATTATCAAATAAGTAACTAGTCTAAACTCTCTCTTGTGAGCATAAATGAGGTAGAGATTTGTTGGCCTATACCAAGGTACTGAATGTGGCCCAATTACAGACCTGTGGCTCAATCTTGTTTATAGCACATGAAAATATAAGATTTATTTGTTTACATGGTAAATTTCAGAATTTAATCTGTTGTGGATTTCCTTTTTTCATAATTATATAACCTATTCTCAAATCAAATGTAAATGACACATATTGTGATCCGTGATAGGCCTAAATGTGGTACTTGTAAAGACCTCCAAAATTTTAGTGCTCTGACATTACCTAATAAACCTCCATAATGTATGGTGTGGTAAAATATTGCTTAATAATAGGTGAAATATAACCTACACCTAATTTCACTACAGACTGACAGGAAAACCTAAAAATTTTAATCCTTCTATAACTTATATAATGGAGCTTCGTTGTTTTGCACTAAAGTGCAAATAGGTATATAGGCCAATACATAGGGTTGTAGTAAGATTTATTGATAACATTCATCTGTACTTGAGGAAGTAGAAATGATAGCATTAAACTATCCTTTATCTATTTATTTGAATATTTTCACTTTTAGAAGCAAAACTTTACTTTTAGGTATAAAACTCCTTAGGCATCTAAATGAAAGATAATAGGCATCCAAATCAAATATCATAATTATTTTTACAAACTATAGCACAAACTATATGTCATGTTAAGAAATGACTGGCTCTCGTATACAGTTATCAACTTATCACCTAAACACCTTATCACCAACAACATTAACACCTTTCCTCTATTCCTGATAACATCAACAACAGGACCAAACAATGAACTTACGTGGCAAAATGCGTCACTTCAATCGAATGTGGGATATAATCCGCCTTCATGTTTGTTACTATCACTTCCTTCTTTACACACGTTCCAACTGAAGGCGTTGGAGAATCCTCCATCGTACCCAAACACGTCCCCACGAAACGTCAAAATTTTCCCCTTCACTACCAGGGAAATTTTCGATAACGGAACTCGTCTCTGGTTTCCTCTCTCTGCTTTGTTCTAAGCACCGAAGAGAAATGTCTTGTGTATGTCACCCAACATTTGAAGCATAGACAAGTCTGCAGACTATGCTGAGAAGCAGAAATGCAACGAGTTCACAAAAGGCGAGCGCTGTCCAGCGGGGGAATACGGGGTACAATGGCGGCCTGTGGGGGAGGAACC